TCTTTTTAATTTTTTTTTCATTTCTGTAAGCTGCCCGGAGTCCTCCGGGATTGGGCAGCATAGAAATTTAATAAAGGAAATAAATGAAATGAAATGAAATATATATATATATTACTTGTATACCATATTTGGCAATACAATTAAGAAATTTATTTTTATTCAATCTAATTCAAGATTATGATGATATCAACGGTAGACAACTGTTTCCAATTTTTATCATTAGACAAAACATTCTTATTTTAAACCTTCTCAACTATCATTTCCAACTTACCTCCAATGTTCTGCATTGTGAGAGAAACAAAAGCACCAATTTTTCCAGGCCATCCGAATGCCTTTTCACCTAGTTTTTCATATATTAGTGAGCCTAGGATCAACAGGAAATACAAAATATTTGATCCATTGGTTTTGATTTGAATCTTTATAACAGTTCACTGGTTAATTTAAAATAGGTACATACTTAAATTTTTTCTACTAAAATTAGGAAAGGGTAAAACATAACTAAAATCTTACTGTGCTACCATTCAATGCTGGCTCTGATTTAGGATTTAGGAAGACTTTGGGTAAAGTATTCTAAGGATGCAGTCCCATTTTGAAATGAAACGACACAAAACTGAACATTCTTTTGGCTGCATCTGATTCCCAAGATATAGTGGTTCTCAAGCTATGGTCTTGGAAACTGTCATCATAGGAGGTCCATGAAGGCTTGAAGAAATGTTATGACTTAAATCTTGAGTTAAGCCTTGAGGGTCTGTGGCACAAAAGGCATTTAAGGGGAAGAACAGGTTGAGAATCACTGCCATGATACATTTAAAAAGTTTCTAGTAAATGCTCATTGTCAATCTCTGAAGCTAACAACACTACATAGTCATTTTGAGGATCTTCTTGGTAGAATGATAGCACTGATGATAATGTGTAGTAAAAATAGTTGTGATTATTGAATGTCATATTGGGGAGCCTGATATTCTAAGAGTTGGAATATGTTTACTTAAAATATTGCCCCCCTCCCCACATTAAGTAAATCATACCTCCTTCTTTGGCTGTCTTCAGTAGTAGATGTACTGAATAGAGTGACATTAGTGCTACACTGAAGAGTAAGATTCTGAAAGACATATGGAAATATAAATGAAAAAACAATTATGAATTGTAGTAGTAGCTTTCCAGTTCTCTATAGAGACTTTAATTTAGGGGTGCTATTGTAGCTTCAAAAATGAAGAAAGAAAAAAAAATGAAGAAATACCGCAAGATGAAGAGATAATTAGGGAGATACTAGATTGTGCAGAAATGTATAGACTTACATTGAAAATTAAACAGAAAGAAAACATAGAATATTATCAAACATGGAATTTATTTTACCAGTGGTTGGAAAAAAGGGGTGGAGATTAAGAATGTAATCTGTATTGTTAAGCAAATTAAATATCCAGACAACATGATGTTTATTGAGCACTAACAAATGAAAACAATAGAAAATTAATAACATTTATTTATATATAAAAAAGAAATGATGAAAGAAAATTTGAGGGAAGCAATGATAAAGTCACAATGAGGTTCATAAGTATTCCTAAAAGCGCACTCTGTAGTAAAAGTATTTGCCTTCTTACTGTGTGTCGTATAGAATTATATATACTTTAAAACAGAGGTTTGGCCCTTCTCTTCACTTGACATTATAGCCACTCATACAGTATTTACTTCGAATTTAGGCTCATATAAAACACATTTGTTATTTAATAAAGAGTGATATATGATGAAGACATGAATCAATGCCTTAGAACCATAATGGCCAACGGAGCCATTTGTTAGGGCACGCAAGGCATTGTCCTGTCAGCTTCAGCACACATGCGCATGTTGGCCAGCTAACTTCAGCCTTTATTTTCAGCTGTTTTTCATCCTCTATTTTTAAAAACTTCACTATTTGAACATTTGTTTCATCAATTTTTTAGTCTTAAATACTGAGAGTACTGAGAGTATATTTGTTGGTAGACCAATCATCAAATCCAATTATTTCAATCATTTCCAAATTAAACATCATGATTCTAGATTGAAAGAATTGTAATCATTTGCTGAATGGAGTTGTCTCCTGCTTTAATAGAGCTAGCTATTGTTAAAATTTGCTTAGAAACATCTGCTGTTGTCAAAGGATACACATTATAGATAGTGTAGGTCAGTGTATGTCACAACTGTCAGCATTGCTAGAACATTTGGCATAGTAGGATATTGGACAGAAATCTATACCTACATGTTATAGTTTCAGATTGAGGGTTATACAGTTCAAGCAAAATCTCCTGCAGTCGTGCAAGCTCTCTAATTAATAGGATATCAATTTCTGTTCTAAATCACTTTCTTTTGCCTCCCTTTTTTCCATTTGAGAAAAACAGAGAGAGCTACAGATATATATCAACAGATATATATTGTTAAGTATATAAGGTATTGTTTGGATTTGCCCCAAAGACTGCATAAGGGGTGAGTCCCAAATATGCTTTTTCAAGAGGCAACTGGACTTTCTGGTTTTTCTTTGAAGACATTTTGCTTCTCATCCTAGAAGCTTCTTCAGCTTCTTGGATGAGAAGCAAAATGTCTTCAAAGAAAAACCAGAAAGTCCAGTTGCCTCTTGAAAAAGCACCTTTGGGGCAACTATGACCTGGATGACTGAGAATCATCATAGACAAAAAGGGTAAATCTTTTATCCTATGACTAGTAATAGAATGTATTAATTAAAGAACCTTATGGCACCAAATCATACTCATAATTTTCCTCACCATTTTAAAAAAAGCATAGCTTACTACTTACATAAAAAGGACAATTCCAGTGTTGGCCATGGCGTAGGATAACCCTAAGATACCACTGCCCATGATGGCATTGCTTAAATTAAATGCTGAAATACCAAATGAAATATTTCCTGGATGCTGTTAAGGGAAAATAAAACAAGGAAGATGTATTAATTCTACCACTTCTCCAGAGACAGGCCTACAACATAACTTGCCAATAAACTTACATATTCATCTGAATAACTTTCCATTTTCTTTTTACCTAGGGAGCCGTTAGCTAGAAACTTCTGGCTTTCTGCATCTTCACCAACAAAGTGGCTGAAAGGTGAAAAAAAGCAAACAAAGCATAAGTCTTTATAATGAAAATAAAATAAAATGAAATAACTTTACATTGTTCTAACCAACTTTAAATAACATGACAGAAATAAAATAAACCGCAAGCAGAGATGTAATTTTCTTAGTGCCAGATAAATCATTTTGACTACTGAGGCTGTTAAGTCTTAAGACTTAGTAAAGAGGACAATATAAATTGTAAAAGGAAACGGATCAGCTGTTGCGAAAGGGAGGCAATACATGTAGGTCTCAACCTATGATCACAATTGGGAACAATTTTTATTGCTAAACAAGGTTGTTGTTAAGTAAATCTTGCCTGATTTTATAACCTTTTTGCCACAGTTGTTAAGTGAATCTCACAGCAATTATGCAGATCTGCGTTTATAGGAGAAGAGCAAATAGAGGTATGGAGGTGGAGTTAAATGTGTTATCAGCTTATAGTCTTTAGATTGCCACCAATGATCCAAGTCCAGTTCTCCTTAAATTCCTTTGACCCTTATTTATTGCCAATTTAGTGTTGACCATTAATTGACCAGATTTTTGTGTGAAAGCTTGATTAAATCTTCTGTGCAGCAACTTGATGTATAATCCTGATCCTTTGTGCCTGACATGCTTTACCCATTGACTGCTTTTTGGAAGTTGGCTGGGAAGGTTGAAAATGGTGATTACATGACTTTGGGATGCTGAGCCATTCTAAATATATGCCAGTTGCCAAATGCCCAAATTTTGATGACCTGACCAAGAGGAGGATGCTGCAATAGTCATAAGTGTGAGGATTGGTCATAAGTCCCTTTTTTCAGTGCAGATTAACTTTAAACGGTTGCTAAATTAATAGTTCTAAGTCAAGGACTACCTGTATGACCCAGTTCCAGCAGTAGAACGCTTAATAGTTTAAAATCAAATGTACTGTTGAAATCATTAAACAGGTTTCCAGGACAATCATTTGAAAATGAACACTGGTTCCTGTGACTTCAAATATTAACTTATATGTGTCATCAGTTTGACAGTAATAATGAGAATCTTCAGAGAAAACATTAATAATAAATTAAACAACACTTAACTAAGGATAAGTGTTAAACTGTGCAGGCAAATTTTCAGATTTCTTTTTATATGTAGTGTAGAAAATCCCTTTCCAGAAATACAGGTGCTGCCTTTTATAGGAAAAGCAGAAATAGGCATTTTCATTTTCAGCAATATCAATTATTTAATCATCTGACTTCCTCCAGTTAATTATATTACTTTTCTAACATGTTTTGTACTTTCTGTAACTACATTGCTTCCTACCTGCTAATAGTAGCCTTCTCTGGATCAACCATATCTGCATCATTGTCTTCAGTGCTGTCTCCGCTGTTGCTCTCCTCATCAAATTCTGTGTTGACTTTCTGCAATTCCAGCCGATCCATCTGAGCAGTCAGCGATTTCCAGTAACACAAACACACACACCCTGAGGCAACTTCAGTGTCAACAGAACTCAGCTTTTGGTTTAAAGGTTCTGTATCCACAGGATGTTGATTCTTGGAATATAGCAGAATAAAAAAAATGCCAACCTCAAATCAGAAAAATGGAAAGGGATGTAATAATATTTTAATATAGAAAAAAGTGTATGAATTTCTTCTCAAACTGAGATGTAAAATCTACATATGTCTAATCTGGATCCAAGCCAGTGGTGGGATTCAGCCAGTTCATACCTATTTGGAAGAACCGGTTGTTAACTTTCTAAGCAGTTCAGAGAACTCGTTGTTGGAAGAAATCTTATTTTGTTTTTTTCTATATTACAGGGCTAATCC